ATTCGATTGCATTTTACCACTCGGGCAAACTCGATGAAACGGACGGAAAACGCGTTTGCGACGGCTCGCCGGAGAGCTATGGATGGAGCGGCCGGTGCGCCGCCGCAGCTCACCGATGGAGCCTGCGTCGCGGCTCAATCCACTGACGCAGCAGCACTGCGACACACTCTCCAAGCACGGCCTCTGGCGTCGCGATTGCACAGAGAGCGAGCAATAGGCGCCAAAAGCACAGATCTGTGTGCAGTGGCTCTCCATGTCGGTCGCGCCCAGCGAGAGGACAACCGCGGGCCTCAGATGCTCGCCCGGACGCGAGCCCACCGTGCGAGTTGCGGACCCGGAGGCGGCCGGCCCAGCTCACCCCCAGAGAGGCATGCCCAGGGTCAGGCATAAAAGGGGGAGAGTTTTCCGTCCGTCCGAACCAGCTGACTGTAGCCAGCTTCCCGGACCATTGACCTCGGGAGCTCTCCCGCACCGTTTAAGCGTTTAAGACCGTTTAAGGAATCGGCGGCCCAGCAGCTCTTAAAACCTACCTAGGCAGGTTTTAAGCCGTTTAAGTCGCAGGTGCCCCAGGGCCCACCCTTTCAAGCCTAGGGGTCCCCTAAGCTCGCAGTCTCTGGGGGGGCGCGGGGGCCCTAGAGGGTATCCATGCGGGGGGGCGATGGGGTCCGATGGCCCGCCGCAGGCGCCGATCTGGGATTTTTTCTTTTTTGCGATTTTTCACTTGTTTTCATGGGAATTCGGCGTCCTTGCGGCCATGCTATCACGCCTTGCGACAGCCTGTCGGCGCTGCTGACCGTGCCATGCTGCACAATTGATCACCTGCATAGCTCGCGGCCTTAGTATCAAGCATTCAGTGACAACCTGATCGTACGGCCAGTAGGAAGGTGTCCTTCCAGCTGCGTGCACGCTTCTGGCGCAATGCGCGTCGCCTCGGATTGGCTCTGGCACTCTCGAGGCTATGCCTACACAGCCTCGCGCGCATGGGCAGTCAAGAGGGACCATGCACCTTCTCACGACAGCGCCGGTGCCTCTCTCTTGGACCGGCAAACGTGGTGGTCTCGTGTCACCAATGTGGGACCAGTGCGGCATCGCGCCACCGACAGCTCTGAACTGCGCATCACCACTGACCGGGAAGGCCGCCAAGTGGGCCAGCACAGGTCGCACATTGTGGCAGCAGTCAGCAGTGCATGTCTGATAGCTAGAGCAGCAGCGTCAGGGTCTCGCAGGGTCGGATCGTGTCAAGCCTCTCGCCCGGCCGGCCGCGTGCAGACGTCGGCCTGTCTGCTGTCTTGAGTTATCTGTCGGCGGTCAGTACGACCGATCAGGTCGGAGTTTGCTGATGATTGGAGGGTCTATCTATATGTACTCCTCGAGATCTCTCCAAATCTGCCCTCTGTTAGACCGGGTTAGATCGGGAAGTTGGTAGTATGAGCGAGTATGAGCGCCGGAGCCCCGTTTCCCTCCGTTTGCGTTTCCGCACTGCTGCGCGGCGCACGGTGCCTCCGGGGGCCCCCGCGCCCCCCCAGAGCTCGCAGTCGCACACCGACCACACACACCGTTGGCGTTGCTTGGGCCTTGGCGTACCTTCGCTTGTCATGTGGTTGTGCTACTGGGCCCGAAGCGGAAATCGCGCTTCAGAGTACTGAGTGCAGTACGACGACGCAAGAATGTGCCTCCATATGTTTGTGCAGAGTGCAACACTTCAAGATTCACTTTCTCGCGCGAGAGCGACCACACACAGACACACCTATCGTATCGCAGAGCGTCACACACGCGCCGAGACGCGCCGCGAGGTCATCTCACTCGTCGGCGCCGCCGCCCTGCCCTAACACGGCGTCTTTGAGAAGCTGCGCTAAGTCGGCCGCCTTTTGCATGAGCACCTTGGCCGCCTCGCAAAACAGCTCCTCTGGCGGCAGAATGCCGGTCGACTCGACCGAGAAGATGAAGTGGTCGCGCACGCGCGAGCACTGCACCCGATGCTCCCACCCCGGCACCGCGCCGCCGTGCCGCCCCGGCATCGAGCACGCCCGCGGCCGCGTCGCCACCGACGGCGCCGCGCCGCCCTCCGCCGCGTCGAAGATGGACGGCGCGGCCGCAGGCGGCGCCTCGGCCGTGTCGGCGTCGCGCGCGCGCGCGGGCTTGACCCGGATCTCGGGTAGCAGGCGGTACGAGGCGGTGGCGACGGGCGACCACTTGGAGTGCGTCTTGCCGATCCCCTTCTCGCACCACGCCTCGAGCACGATCTCTTGACCCGGCCGCAGCTTTGCGATCAGGATGTCGTCGTGCACCGGCTTGATCTCGCGCTCGCGGAAGCGCTCCTCCTGGTCGCCCTGCGGGATCCACTGCAGGTGGCTGGAGAGGACGCGCGAGTTTACCATCTCGCTCGACCCGGGATCGTCCTTGTTGCCTCGCGTGCACTTGATCTCGAGCCGGAATGCGATGACGTGATGCTCGTCCGGGTCCTCATCGCCGACACGCTCGCGGAAGAGGCGCGGGTCGGCGCGGATGGGGATGAGGCCGAGCCGGTGCGCGAGGACCTCGTCCTCTGTCATCGACGTGTTGTTGAGAATAAACACCTTGTCGATTGCCATCGCAGGCACCTCAGAGAGCAGGATCCGCCGAAAGGCGTTGGCAATGGCCGCGTCGATCCCGATCACGTCAAAGACAATCTCTTCCTCGTCGAGCTGCTGCACCTCGATGCGAAGGTCGCGGCGGAAGCGCTCCATCGAGAAGGAGTTGTCGACGCCTGACGCAAAGTAGGCGCCAGCCGCCTCGACTGTCGCAGTCATCCGCGGCGCGTCCTCATGGATCGAGACGCGCGTGCGCTGCTCCTCCACGTGGGCAGGGAGCGTGCCGTCGCTCACGTGCGGTAGCGGCATGTGGAAGCGTGGTATGGCGCCAAGCACCCACACCGACGCGTGCCCGCACGCGTCGCCCGGTCCAGGGTTCCGGCTCCTACCCGGATAGGGGGTCTGAGTGACTCGTGCCAAAACGCCCTACCTACCTACCTGTCCCCAGGCCGCGCAGCGAAGCGAAAAAAGATGAAAATAGGGGTACCTACCTATTGCAGGGCCCTTTTGGGCCAAACAAGACCAACCTACCTACCTATCTGGGAGGGGCCAGCCAGTCCCAACAGACCCCCTATCCGGGTAGGAGCCGGAACCCAGTACGCTCTACCCACTACCTAACCTAACCTAACCCACCTCGAGACCATACCCCCCCGCCTGCTGACAGACCCAGCCTCCCGGAGACCGGGAATGGGCGGTCAGGACCATACCCCCCCGCCCATAGAGGCCGCCCGTGCAACCGCGGCCCCTCATACCATGTGACCTATTAGGAATATCTCACTCTGATCGCACGTCGCTACTCACTCGTATATTTAGGTGTCTCTGTCTAGACGATCTCGGGAAAAGCTGGTAAGCTCTCACCGTTATCACATATTACCCCACAACACAGTGTCGCACCCGGGACGGCCGGGCCGCGGGCGGGGGAGGGGGCAGAACGAGCGGTGCCAGGCGCCTCAGAGAGGTGGGCGGTGGCCACGCGGTACAATACGCACGCAAGCACACGTACGGCACACGAGCGTGGCCAACACGAGTACACTACTTTTGCACAACGGTCGACTCATTCCGCTTTCCGAAGGCGCGCGCTTTTCCGAGCAAAGCTGAGCGCCTTGCACTTCTCGTCACTGGGCAGCTTCACCCGCCAACCGGCCAACTCTGTTCGAGAATCGTCATCGGCGAGGTCGGGGGTCCATTCGACTGCGAATTGTATGGCCATAGGGCCTTGGGGGTTTTGATTCTTGTTCACAGGCTCGCCATTTAGATAGACGTACATCCGTGCGTCGTCGGGTAAGCCAAACACCTCATGGGCGCTCAGACGCATCGTCGGCCAGAGGAGCTCGGAGGCGTGCCGGTCTTCTCCAAAAGGAAGCATCTCATGTGTATCGGGTCTGGCGAGCGTCGGCGGCAACGGCAGATCAATCTGCCTGCCATACTCGTTCACGAGCTTGACCGCTCCATCGCCACCCATACTAGTGATCTCGTCTCGCTCGTCGGCGTCCTGGGAGCCAATGAGAAGAAGCAGCAGCAAGCGAGCCGCTGCGTAGCGAAGACCTGCTGCGGACTGCAGGGATTTGTCATCCACTGCTGCACGAAGCCACTTCCATAATGGCGCGACGCCGTGGGCCGCCTTCAATGCATGTTGCATCGATCCGTATTCATATCCATACACGCGATGAGTTGGTCTATGAGTGTTGAATGAGGAGCGCGGAAATGTGAATCGATGTGAATAAATCAGCTTCTGTATCGCCCAGCAAGCTTGCTGTGCTGATCCAAGACGCATCAACCCGACGAGCTGACCAATGTGACAGCGGACCAGTGTTTCAGGCCTGACATGAGCCTGCGTTGCCGCAAGAATTGCTGCCCGCCACAAGGGTGAGCGACATATCCTCAGTAGGGGCCCAACGCTGAAGAAATCCCATGCCTGCCGCCACCAGGTTGATGACATTGCCACCAGCGTAATGACATCTGAAGACTGGCCATGCATCCCCGCGAGTATCTCGGCGCCAAGTGTCGACGGCTCTCCAAATATTCCACCCGGAGATTTTCGCGCAGCAGCTTCAGCTTGAGCAGCCAACTCGCGAGCCCTGAACATTTCCTTCCTTGTTGACTCTTCATCTATTTCCGCCTGCTGCCGCCGTGCGAGGGCTTCCGAGTGCCTCTTCACGGCCAGGTCGGCGTCTTGACGTAAACGCGCCGCCTCATGCCTGCTCATGCCTGCACGACTGTTCCGACACGGATCAAGCTAAAATCGGGCGTGATCGGCGCGCGCGCGAGCCACGCGTGCGTGCGTGCGTGTAGAGATCCGTGTGCCGATCGTGTCGGCTGTCAAAAATGTGACACGCCGACCCGACGCTGCTCGCTGTGGTTGGTGGTCAACTGGGAAAACCGACATCACAAGTTTGGAGTCATCTCGGTGACGCCACCGAGGCCGCTCAGCATGTCGGGGAGCCAATTGCGCTCGAAGAACGGGCCCCGCTGGCCGTCCCACGGGTCCGCGTAGGGGTACAGTTTGGAATCTCGAGAAGGTATGGTAAATCTGCCCACTACCTAACTAACCTAACCTACTACTAACCCACCTCGACCACGAGCCATTCGGGCAGCGGCAGCTCGCTGAACGAGGGGCCAGAGGCAGCAGCAGCGGCGGCGGGTGAGACAGATGGTCTGGCAGACGTACTGGCGATCGGGCGCCACGGAGACTGCAGGCCGCCGACAGAGGGCTGGAGGGCGAGGAGGCTGAGCAGGATGCGTGCCATATCCGTACAGGAGCGAGGGTTTTGGTGGCAGTACGAAGGCACGGGCAAAGAGAAACAACTTGCTCCAGTTTCGACAGAGAGAGTCCCTCTCTCTCTTCAAGGGCAGCCTGAAGTTTGTTTTGTTGTTGCGTCAACGTCGTGTGTGGCGCGGAGGCCTTTGACGAGACCCGGCGCTCAAACCGGTCAAGATCGACACGCCCCTTACTCAAGCGCCGATCGATCCTAGTATTACTGAAATCGGAGCAGAAAAGAAAGCAGCATCCCCCAGTAATACTAGGATCTGCTCGTTCTGTATTCACACACACGGTGTTCACACGTGTTTCCCCCCACCACCACACACACACACACACACGGACGTACGCATACGAACCGCATTATGACACAGGCACACACACAGCTTCGAGACTCGATCTCGAACTGGGGTCTCGAGGTTCGATCGAGTGGACGCCATCGGTTATAACCGACCAAGTTACAATACACGAGACATATACGACCACTCGGGCACTTGCGCGCGCGTGAACAGGGCCACGCGCCTCTCTTTGCACGCCATCCAAAGCTCATCCAACCCCCGGCTCGTCGAGAGGCGCGCGTTGCCATAGACGCTCAGCTCCTTGAGCTTTGGCAGCGCACCGTTCAGTATCTCGGCGGCGAGGAGGTTGGCGCTGTCGTCTCCAATATCGTTGAGGTTGAGGACCAGCAGCTTGAGCTCTTTGAGCACCCCGGAGCGAATCACCGAGATGAGCTGCTCGCACTCGGCGTCCGCCCACCCAAGCTCGCGCAGCCACAGTTCCGTCACGCAGCCCAATCGGCTCTCATACGCGTGCAGGTAGAGGGCCTGCACCTGAGCGAGGTCAGCCTTTTTCGAGGTGAACGACTTGGTCTCGAGCTGCCTGTCGAACTCGGCGGGCGTGAGTGGCGGGGCGCGGCCAGCCTTGCACTCCTTCTTCAGCTCCTCGAGGTTGGAGGCCTTGTCATACTGGCCGAGGTCGAGCACCTTGCCCGACGATTTGATGAGGCCGGCGACCGAGGCCTCCTCGAAGCACCACCCACGCCCCGCATAGTCCGCGGTGTTTGCAACCATGCCGTCCGGGAAGTCGAAGCCGTTCGGATAGCCCTCGGGCAGCTTGGTGAGCTTGATCACCGTCGTCTCCTGGTGCGAGTACCAGTCGCCCATGCTGTGGAGCGCCCTTGTGAAGAGAGCGTTCTCCTGCGTCGTCCGCGCCTCACCACACTTGCCCTTCTGATGGGCCGAGCAGAAGTCAATCATCACCGCGTACGTCTGCAGCTCGTCCGGTGCATCGGCGCTGTCATGTCGATCGTCGACCATCATGCGCAGCGCGATGGCAAGGAGGCGTAGGTTGTCACCGTGGGGGTCGGGATGCCACGGAGTGGGAGACGGAGATGGTGGCCGCGGCAGAGGCGGTGGTGGAGAGGGCAGAGGTGGGGCCGGGCTGTGAGGCGCCGCCGCTGGATGCCTCCTCCGCCTCCGCCTCCGCCTCCGCCTCCGCCTCCGCCTCCGCAGCGGTAGACTCCGGGCGCTCCGCTGGGCGCGGTGGCGACGCCGGCTCGACTGCCGCGGTCACCGCGGCAGGCGTCACCTCCGGCTGCGAGCGCGCGCGCAAGCCTTGCATTTGGCGCCGCATGTACTGGCAGACCGCCTCCGCCGCCTCCGCCGCCTTCTCCGCCTCGTCACTCGCGAGTTGCATGAGCTCCGCATCCTCGCCTGCCTTGTGCATAAGCTCCAAACGGTTGAGGCGCAGGGAGGGTGCAGCTCGAGAGTGGCCGTCTCGCATCGAGAGGTCTGCGGCGCCGACTGCAGCGCCGCTCGGATCCCCTGGCGCGCCGTTGGCGCTGCTGCTAACGCTGCCTGCAACGTGCTGCTGCTGCTGCTGCTGTGGCGGCTGATTCGGCTCGCGCGACTCCTCCACCTCCGTGTGCTTCCGCTTGATCGGCAGCATGTCGGGTTCCTAAGCCAGAATGGATGTGACGGAGCGAACCTGATCAGTCAGGTTTTTCAGTCAGGTTTTCAGTCCCGTCGCAGTGCCTGGCTTGATCCGCCGACGCTGTCGGCCCGGACCTCGGGTCGGCCGGCAGGGCTGCCAGGAGGCGGTCAGGGACGCTTGCATCGATACGGAGAGGAGGAATGCGCACATCGGTGTCGGCTTGCGGGTTGGCCTTTACACCATATTCTCGAATATCTTTGAGAATATAGAGGGTCCCGCGCACTTCCATATTCGAGAATATTCTCGAGAATATAGATGCCCCGGCCGGCTTTTCCCTCAAGAATATACGAGCTTTCCGCAGCCCTTGACCTTGGTGGACCTCGAGTCCAAAGATATTCTTGAATATTCTTGACGTTGCCGCTGTGCGGCGTCTAAAACGGTCTTGACGAGAGAGCTCGAAACAGCTATTCCCCCCTCAACAGTAGGTTTCGGGTCGATGCCGACTGAAATCTTTAAGTTTTGGAGGTTCTGAGCGGGTTTGGGAGCGACTTTTGGTCTCCGTCGATATACGCGAGGTCAAAATATTCTCAATATTCGAGAATATTCTCGAGAATATAGAGGGCCCAGAGAGAATATGATGCAAAGAATATAGATAGCCTTTGCAGAGAAAAGCGTGTAAAGGCCAACGTTGCGGGTTCAACCAGCGAAAGAGTCGGTGAGCGGGCGCCGGAGCGGGCTGGGTTCGAGGTCCGTAGCCGTAGGGTAGTGGACTGTATGGTCCTGACCGTGATCTGTCATACGAACATACCTGGCCTGGTCGAAGGGGGGGGGGGGGGGTAAGGTTTCGAGGAGGGTTGGCCGACGCTACCATACCTTACCCCGCAAAAGGTCCGAACCCAGCGTTGCAGGGGGCCACTACCTAAAAAGCGACTCCTGCGAGGACGGGAGACGGCAGTCACCTCTCTAGCTCCGTGGCGCGGTGCACTCGAGTCTCGACCGCCCTCGGCCGCAGGCAAGCTCATTGTATGACGATCAGAGCTCTGCGCTGGCCGTCTCGAGCTGGCCGTGTGAAGAGAACAACACTTTTTAATAACAACACTCTCTCTCATCCAGGTACGAGAGAGTCTGAGGCAAACACTTGCACATAAACAAAGAGCGAGCCGCTCTGCTCTAGCCAACATGCATCTGGAGTAACGGGGGCCTCTCACATGGGTCTGAGGTCGCACGTACATTGGACATGCATGGTGTATGCACTTAATCCTAGTAATCCAGGTCGGGGGCAGTGGCGCTCGAGAATTGGCCCGTCCTCGCCGCCGCCGCCATTGCAGCGCCATTGCCACCGACGGTATCGCGCCCGGCTGCATCGCACAGGAGCCCTCGGGGAAGGCTCTTGCGGTAAAATAGTTGAATGTCACGCTCCGCTGCGCCTCTGGGCAAAAGCGGTGTCGTCGCGGTGCGCACCGGGCAGGTAAGGGGGCAGTGTGGGTCGCCTGCGTGGCAGCCGCGCACGCCACTGGGCAGTAGTAGGAGAGGGGCTTGACGGGGAAGATGGAGCCGCTCTCAACGCAGATGTTGAGGAACTGCGTGAATGGTGGGAAGGAGATGGCGCCGAGGCCTTCGGCTCTGCTCACCGCGATTGCCTCGAGCATCGCCGTGCATTGGAGAGCCAGCCGCAGCCGGAGTGCCGCAGCCCGGAAATGTAGCCGGCGGAGGGCCAATTCCAATCGTAAGGCCAGCTCCAGCGCGCAGCCTCCCAGTTGAAGGCCGTAAAGACGGGGTCGTCCTTTGTTTGTTTGCGACGTCCTCGCAAGGCAGACGCGAGAGCCTCTGCAAGTAGATGCCTGAGCTCGGGCAGTACGGACCGCAGCCGCTGTGCGGCAGGGAGAGCGCGAGCGGGGGTCCCACGCGGAATCGACCCTATCCCGTGCTCAAGTGCTCATCAACTACTCGAGTACGTACACCCACACTCAAACTCGGACCATCCGCGGGGCCGTTTTCATCCCGAATTTCCTCCCCCCTCGGATGTGCACCGCGTGCGATTGCAGCCCGGCCGCCGGCTTCCATTTGATCCCCGAGGAGCTGCTTGCCGAGGTCTTGCGCCACCTTCCAGCCCGCTCGCTAGCCCTCTGCGCCAACGTGAGCCGCGCCTGGGAGGCGGTGCTGGGCGTGGCAATTCAGACGCGGGCGGAGTTGCTCGGACTGGTGCTGCCCAGGGTGCAAACGGGCTGGCCTCAGCCGTTCCGCCTTCTCGTGGCTGAGGACCCGGCGGCTGCTTGGCGCGGCGTTAAGTGCTCCGCCGCGCTCGCCTCTGCCGCGTCGCCGGGCGATTGCCTTGCGCTGCACGAGGACGGTGAGCACCTAATCTCTGTTGGTGCTGATCATGACGCGCGAGTCGTGAGCGTCTTCTCTCTCGAAAGAAACACTTTGCTGGGGGCGCTGCGGGGACACGTGGAGGCGGTGTGCTGCGTCGCCGTGGAGGGCGACGTGGTGGCGGCCGGCGCTGAGGATGGAACCATCCGACTCTGGCAGCTCGCGGCAAGGGGCTCGGACATCAATCCCCGGCCGATGGCGACACTCCACGGACACACTGGCGCCTTGGCAGGCCTGACGATGTGGGAGGGCTGCCTCGCCAGCGGAGGGGCCGACGACAGGAGCGTCAGAACGTGGTCAATCGCGGAGGGCTGGCGATGCACGTCCACGCGCCTCGGACACACGCACGCGGTCACGAGCGTCTCGTGCGGTGGCCGCAGCACCACCGGGCAGCGGCTCCTCATCAGCGGAAGCACGGACCGCACGGCGCGAGTGTGGGAGCTCACACACGCCGAGCCGAACAGCGCGCGAACGCTTCGACATCTCAGCTACGTGCTCTCGGTGAGCGCGGTGGGTAACACTCTCGCTTGTGCTTGCGTGGACTCCATCGTGGTCTGGAGCCTTTGCGAGTTCGAGCGCCTTTACAAGGTGGAGCACGGCAACGTCTGCTCCTGCGTCCGGCTCTCTCGGGCGGATCGTGCGCCGGGCGGCCTGCTGCTCCTCAGCGGCGGCCACGACCGGAAGGCCAAGCTGTGGACGCTGGAGCGCCCCGGCGGGACCATCATTGCAACACTCGAGGGGCACGCAGGCTCGGTACGCGGGCTCGCAATCTCGGCCGCCGGGGTCGCAGCCTCGTGCGGCATTGGCGGTGGAGGCCAGCTCTTCGTTTGGCATGCGTGTGGCAAGGGAGGGTGCAGCCCAACCGACGACGCGGCGGGGCCGGGGCGTATACGTGAGGACGCGCATACGTGAGCGTGAGACTAGAGCGCGGGAGAGAGCGCGCGCGACGCCATCGGCAGCGCGCGTCGGTAGGCCGGCGGCGATTTGCTGGGTTGGAATGATTCTCCCCGGACGCGACGACCGCGGGTGGGGTCGTGTGCGCGGGCCGGTGCGGCGGTGGCGGGTGGGGCGGTGTGGCAGCTCCGGCGCACGAGATATGGCATGGGGCATTCAAATTAATCCGATATCACATTAGTCATCAATTTGGCCCGTGAGGAGACTCGCAAGGTACATCATCGCTCCACACGACAGTCGACACCGCCGGGCGGCGCACAGCGCACAGCCACGCACAAGCCGCGGCAGTCACAATAGAACTACGGCTTATACAATGTATGTCTATGCCCGCCGCGCGCACACCCCGATGTCGCCGCGCAAGAGAGGAAGAGACACTGCTATTCAGGTATTCTGCTTCTGGCAGAACGACGGTTCTGCTTTTGGTCGCGAAACACCATCTCGACCCGCTCCGAGTTCCGCCAACGCCGCCGCCACCACAATGTCAATGACCTCGACAGACCACAGACGACACTCTTAGAGGCCAAAGAGCGACCCCGCCCCAGCCCTGTTCTCCCTCTCACATGCAGACTGTGCCCCGCCCCGTGTCCTGCTGCGGCTCCCGCTAACTGCTCGCGGGCGCGAGCGCCGCCATCTCGGCGCTCAGCTCCTCGTACGCCTCCTTGAAGTCGGCGGCACACGTCACGAGCACAATCGAAGTGGGCCGCTTGGTGAGCGACGCCTATGGGAGAGGGGTCGGGATTCGGCCCAAGCGGCCGCCAGCCACTCCCCACGGGCAAGGCTCGGCGCGCGCCTGCCCCAGCTCCTCCTTCGAAGGCACGTAGCAGTAGGGCACTGCCTTCTCCTCGCATAGGATCGGGACGTGCGCAATCACGTCAATGGGCGAGATGTTACCTGCGGAGGGGCGGGACCTTGGCGCGCACGCACTCGCGCACCCACCACACGCGAACTGTCGGCGCGCCTGCGATGATGCACAAGCCCTTGGTGTCCTTCTTCAGCGCCTTGACCACCTCCTTGACACCGCGCCGCAGCGTCTTGGCGCCGGACGCCTTTTTGATGCACTTGAGCGCCTGCCCGGGCCACCCCTGGTGAGACGACGTTTCCAGGTTTCCCGACGAAAGGGAAGGGCTGCACCGCGTCACAACACTGGCGCGCGCGCGCGCGCGCGCACACACACACACACACACACACACACACACACACACACACACACACACACACACACACACACACACACACACACACAGGCGCGGAGGCGCGGAGGCGCCTTTTTCGTCAGCTTTTTGCCCGCAAGTGGGCTGGCGATCGGAGACAGGAAGACCTGCTTCTTGCTGCCGTCCTCGGCGTCGTCGTCGTCCTCGACCTCCTTCTTCTTCTCAGACTTGTCTTTCTTGCCCATCTGGGAGCGACAACGCTTGCGATTCGCCTGCTGGGCGCGAGGCCTGGGCTGGAAAAAGAATTTCATGGTTAAGACGCAGCTCGCAATACAGACATGGGTGCGAAACAACGACAAGACCAAGGCACGGGCAGAGGAGAGAGAGAAGAATATAGGATGGATAAAGCGCCTGTTCACGGCATGGAGCCGCAATGGAGGGGGTGAGCCACGCTGAACGAAATGAACGTAGAGCCAAACGGGGGGAAGCCGGGGAAGAAGACTCCGAGGAGGACGAAACACCAGTGGTAATCCCGTCGTCAGCTGTAACGATGCACCCGAAGGGGACCCCAGAGCGCGAGGCAGCAGCTGGGCTAGAAAAGAATTAACGAGCACAGTGGAGTGTGCTGGCTGCTGCTGTGGCGGACATCCGACAAGGCATGCGGCAAGGCATACACCACTGGAGCCGAAAAGAATTAACAGAAGCGTGAGTGTGCTGGCTGCTGCTGTGGCGACATCCCTCATCCGACAAGGCATGCGGCAACACGTGCCATTTCCTTTACCGTTAAGGCAAGGCTCTTGGTTATAAAAAAGAATCCGCGGCGAGTCTCCTTGTGCGCGGTGGAACTGAGTGTGCTGTGGCGACCCCGTGCACACACATGCACATCTGACGGACCTTTCACGAAAACGCCCTCGAAAAACGCCCACGCACCCGGCTGCACGCGGTGAGTGCCCACACCCCTCTGAAAATCGTTCGCTCACCGGACACAGACGCTCACAGAGCAGAGGTATACGCGACTCAGGGTGGCGCCGCCCCAGCCTCCACCGCGCGGCTGAACCACGACTTGCACTCTCGCCCCTCGTCCCGCCCGTCGAACTCGGCGGGCGGCCCAAACTCGACGCTCACGTGCTCGCCGTCCACCTTGCGGGTCGACTCGAGCTTCAGGCAGTGCCTGTCCTTGAGCCTCACCGTGTGGAAGCTGTTTGCAAAGTCGGCAAAGACGGCGCCGGCCGGCGCGACCTCGGAGCCGGAGGAGAGGTTAATTAATTACTTAGTTACCATGTGAATTATCGCAGGCGCGACCTCGGAGCCGGAGGAGAGGTTAATTATTACTTAGTTACCATGTGAATTATCGCAGGCGCGACCTCGGAGCCGGAGGAGAGGTTAATTATTACTTAGTTACCATGTGAACTATCGCAGGCGCGACCTCGGAGCCGGAGGAGAGGTTAATTAATTACTTAGTGACCATGTGAACTATCGCAGGCGCGACCTCGGAGCCGGAGGAGCGAGTCACGCCCCAGGTGCCGTCGCCCCACGGAGTGATGAGCTGGCCGCCGCGCATGAAGCCGAGCGGAAACATGCCAGCCCAGGACCTGGCGGTGGCGGGGGCCGTGTCTCCGGGCGGCGGGAGGAGGAGGAGGGGGGGGGGGGGGGCTCTTGCCCCTCTCTTGCTCACCGGCGTGCGGGTCTTCGGCGATGGGCTCGACTCTCCGCGGCCAGTTGGAGATCTGCTGCGCCGCCTCGGTCCAGAGGTTGGTGATGATCTGCGCCGACCTTGCGGAGCAGGCGGGCGGAGAGCGGAGGTGGTCGGCGGGGTAGCCGCCGTAGTACTGCCGCTTGTCCACCCTCCAGCCGCCAGGCAGGCTGAGGCCGAAGGTGTAGTGGTAGATGTCCTGCGAGGGAGACAGGGGGAGACAGGGGGAGATAGGGGGAGATAGGGGGAGATAGGCGGAGATAGGGGGAGGTGCAGTGGTAGATGTCCTTGTCCGCCATGTCGTCGGTGCCGATGCCCTGTGGCTCGACCTGCGAGGAAGCGCCCGAGGATGCTCGGGGGAGGGCCGAGGAGCGGCGGCCTGTCCCCGTGCCCTGCTGCCTGGATGGACTGGGAGACGGTGTGGCGGATGCCGAGGTTGCGGGCGGCGAGGTTGTAGCCCCACATCTCGAGCACCTCAGAACGAATCAGGACTCATTCATCGTCAGTAGTGAGTGAGGGAGGTTGCAGCCCCACATCTCGGAGCACCCAGCCGAAGATGTGGTTCGCGTCGCTGTCGTGCTTCATCTTGACGGAGAGGTCCCACCACGGCCGCGCGACTCGCTTGAGCATCGCCTTGTGCACGAGGAGGGGCGAGGGGCATGCCACATGCGACACAGGGGGGAGAGTAGAGAAGGTGTCATGTGTGGGTGTAGGACGCCTTGTGCACGAGGAGGGGCGAGGGGCCGACGTTGTCCACGGTGCGGATGTCGATCGCCGGGTCGAGGAACTTTTGGACGACGGGCTGCAGCTTCGGGTCGGTCGAGATCCTGCGTGCACCATACCTCCAGAGTAACGAATCCAGTGTGGGTTCAGTCCCGTGGGTGGTGCGGTAGCAACTGTGCGGCGTACCAGCCTACGTGCTGAAGACAGCAAGGTCGGGGCGGGAGTACGGCACTGTGCAGTGTCTCCAGAGCACCGCGTGAAGACGAGGGGCCACGAGTGCAGTGAGTACAGCGGACGACGGCCGAGCACAGCGGAGTCCGTGTCCTCTCGAGCTGGTTGGGAGGACACGACAGTGTGTGTTCGGCTTCTAGGGTCGAGGTCATGTAGTAGAAGCCGAAGCCGACCGGCTTCTCGGGGGTGGCGCCGTTGAGGGGCGGGCGCATCATCATGTGGTCCGTCTCGATGAAGAAGAGGTACTCCTACGACCCATCTCTCGGCTAGACCTCGGGTAGATCTCGGGTAGATCGCGGGTAGATCGCGGGTAGATCTCGGGTAGATCTCGGGTAGACCTCGGGTAGATCTCGGGCAGATCTCGGGTAGACCGCGGGTAGATCTCGGCTAGACCTCGGGCTAGATCTCGGGTAGATCTCGGGTAGATCTCGGCGTCTCTCTCGATGAAGAAGGGTACTCTACACAGCCAACCCCCGCGGTGCCGCGGCCGAGCCGCTGTCGCTGCCTCCGGCTCTCGCGCGGGGCAGAGAGGCGGCAGAGAGGCGGCAGAGAGGCGGCAGAGGCAGAGAGGCGGCAGAGAGGCGGCAGAGAGGCGTCGGAGAGGCGCGCTCCTCCGGGATATTGCGAAAGTGCTCCGTCTCTACGAACTGGACGGCGCCCCACGGCCGGTTCATCACGATGAAGCCTGTTCACAGCAGTGGGTGTGAAGAGACGCTGTTCACACCTCGCCACGGCCGGTTCACCACGATGATGCCGTGGTCGCACTCGTCGCACGACCCGTGCCCAAGCTGCTTCACCACCAGCGTCGGGATCTCGTCCATCAGCTTGTCGGGCGCCTGCTCATTAATTATGTCACATGGCCATTCACTAATCAATCACCATCTCCTCCATCAGCTTGTCGGGCGCCGCGCTCGGCGAGTTGAACAGCCGCGTGAAGCCGCCGATGTCGGAACACGGACCGCCCGCCTTCTTCTGCTTGAGGTAGTGGTAGTACGCGATGCGAGACTGCCACTCCTGGTAAATCCCCGTCGCCGCCGTCATCACCACGTGGTACGGCTTCCGGGTCGGCGGGCACCCTTGCGGCGCCGCCTCGGCGTGCGGAGTGGTGGCCGCAAGCGGCGGCGTCGCGTGCTGCGCCGGCTCGGAGGTGGCGGTCACGTGCGACGCTTTGGCTGGCTGCGAGTGCTGCGCCGCACCCGCTTGTGGGCTCTCGCTGGCGGCAGCGGCAGCGGCCTGTGGGCTCTCGCTGGCGGCAGCGGCAGCGGTGCTGCTGCCGACGGCCGAGGGACCGCCCGCCCGCAGCGCGCTCAGGTGCGCGTTGCGGGAGCTTCCGACGAGCGTGTTGGCGTGCACGAGCAGTCCGATGACGACGAGTGAAGCAGCGACGACAACCAGGCGGAGGATCATGGGGATAGAAGGCTCAGGAACGGCGATACTAGCTAGCCTGCTAGCCGCCCAACACAACTTGGGCGCATAAAGAATTCCATCGGCGCGCCGTTTCGGAGGCCGCGCCGGAGCCGGAGCCGGCCGGCGCCAAGAGCAAGCTCCCCGAGCCGACGCCAATCTCGAAACGGACTCGCTCCTCGCGGCGCAACGCGCAGGCCGCTTGAGCGCGGCCGCCGCCAGTCGCCGCTGGGCCGGGGCCGCGGCGCTTGCCGGGGCCGGCCGGCGCTTGCCGCGGTAGCGAGCGTCGGGGCGCGATCGGGCGCGATCGTCCCGCTCTGGCGAGGTGTGTGAGAGAGAGATTTACTCTTGGTGTGTGTGCGTACGCATGCAGTGTCTGTGGGTGGGCGCGGGGCCATCGCTCGCTTCGGAGAGAGAGAGAGAGATTTTTAAAGACCAACAAGAAATCACGACTCATTTCTTCGCTTCGGTGTGGGCCGGGGCTGAGGGTTGGGGGGTCGTTCGGGTGCATAGGATGGCCCCCGAAGTGACGACGAGAGCAGCCGCGCGAGATATTGTTATAGAGAGAAGTCGGCGCGTATAATGGAGAGTGAAAACGTTTCGGAAAAGCATGCGCGATCCACTCTTATTCCTGCAAGAGCAAAAAAAACTTTCGCTCGGACTGAACACAGCAAAGAAGAGAATTTAAACAAAACAAGTCTCGCACAGCAGACAGGCTCGACACAGGTGCGAACTGGCGCGTGCTAGTACTATCACAGGCACACCACCGGAGCCGCCTAACGGCCTAAGCGACTCCGTTAAGTCTTAAGAACGGCAATGCACTTAGCACCGTGCACAATGCCGCTGTCCCCGCACGCTAGCTCGTTCACCGTCTGCCACGCCACGGCGGTGTGGAGAACGACAGACAAGCGCTGCATCTGCAGCCCGTGCCAGTTCTTGGTGAAAGAAGAGAAAAACCGCACGAAAGATAAACCTACCATCCTCCGGAGCATGGCTGGTGATAATTCGATGGCAGCCGTCCGCCGCCCCCGCCACACGCACAAATGGCTGCGCGCTTGCGGCTTGCCGCCCCCGGCCTCGCGGGACGGCTGCCATTGGCTGCCATCGAATTATCACCAGCCATGGCTCTGTCTGGAGGATGGCTGCAATCTCTGTGCCCCAGCCATAGTAGATGGCTGAAATGGCTGAAATGGCTGTCCCCCAGCCATCTTACCCAAGATGGCTGCGATGTAGCCAGCTCAGCCAAGAGGGCTCACCTCGAGGCGGGCGGTGTGGCTGCGGTAGTGCGTCTCCAGCCATCCGTACTAAGGATGGCTGCCCTGTGTGTGTTGCAGCCATCGGCCTGAAGGATGTGGCTGCACTGTAGCTAGCTCAGCCATCCTTAGGTAAGATGGCTGTGTAGGAGACAGCACAGCCATAGTGCGCTACATTCCGAGGTTAGATCTAGGCTTCCTCCCCATCACATCACTGGAGGCTGCAACTACTCCGCCACGGTTGGCCGCGCGCCGACACTCGTCTATGAGCAAACGGCAGTCTCGCCGCGCGTCAGGCCGATCGCCCGAGCTGCTGCAGCCTCTCCATCCCATTTTGGGCTCCGGCCCTGCATGGAGCCCGCCACCCGCACCCGACACCATCGGCACGATTGTCTCCCGGCCGATGGCGATGCCCTCCTACGAGGTGAGCCAGCCTGTGGCAGTGCCGTTCCCCGTCCTACCCGCCAACGCCGCTCTCGTCGGCGCGGAGGCCGTCCGGGCGTGGGCTCGGGGAGTCGCACACAAGCCGGGCGAGGCGCAGCCGTCGCCGCCGCCCTCGCTGCTCCTCGAGCACCGTCAAGAGGAGGGCAGCGAGCGGACCGGCGGCTCGCTCGTCGCGGATGGCGACCAGCGGCTCGGGGCGCAGTCCGCTGGCCCGGTCCGCACGGGCGCATGCCCCGGCGGCGTCTGCGGCAAGCGCCGGCGCGCGGGCCCGCGCAAGGGCGGAGGCGGCGCACGGCAGGCCGAGGAGGAGGAGGAGGGGGGAGAGGGGGAGGAGGCGGCGAGTGAGGAGGAGCGGCTCGCCGAGCTCAACGAGCGCGTGCGCGACGCGCTCCGCGAGCGGGGCCTCAACCTGCAGCAGCTCGCATGCCACATCGGCTTCAGCTCGACCGCGACGCTCTGCGACGTCCTCAACGATACCGGCCCGTAGCCCTTCCCTCGCGCGTGCCCCTAGGCCACACACTCACACCGCTCACCCACGCGCACCTGGCCTTGCACCTTGAATTGCCGTGCCAGCTCCTGTCTTCTAGACGTGGAGTCGCGAGGGTTGCCCCCGCTTGCCCCGCCTGGTGTGTGCGGAGAAGTTTACCTTACCTTACTTGCCCCTAGGCCGCGCCGCGCCGAAGACCAAGGGCGAAGTGCTGCACGCGCTCGACAGGTGGTGCCGCGACCCCTCCTCCACCATCGCCACCGAAGCGGAGGAGGATGCAGCCCGCGCCTGTGCTCTCGCAGCGCCCGCGCCGCCCGCGCCTGCACTCGAGGCAGAGGGCTGCACCAAGAAGCGGCGCGGCGCGGCGGCGGAGGCGGTGGCGGCGGAGGAGGAGGAGGAGGAGGGGGGGGAGGTTCTGGCGGCCGGGCAGGCACCGGCGGCCGAGGAGCCGCTGTCGGACGATGTGCTCTCTCAAGACGCTCTCTCGGAAGACGCCCTCTCGGAAGAGGCGCGACAGCCCTCGCCCCTCCACCCCCCCCCTCCTCTCCTCTCCCCTTCTAGACCCAGCCCCCCTCCTCTCCTCTCCCCTTCTAGACCCAGCCCCCCTGCCCTTCGCAGGCGGGGGAGGTGCCAAGAGCGGTGGCGGCGGAGGCGCAGGCGGAGGAGGAGGCAGAGGCGGCGGCGGAGGAGGCGCAGGCGCAGGCGGCGGAGGCGCAGGCGGAGGCGGCGGAGGCGCAGGCGCAGGCGGCGGAGGCGCAGGCGGAGGAGGAGGCAGAGGCGGCGGCGGAGGAGGAGGAGATGGCCGAGGAGGCGGCCACGGCCGGCCCAGGGGGTGTGGTGGCAGAGGCGGAGGGGTTGAGGCTGCACCTCTGTGGCACCGGAGTGCGCCACAGCGGCACGGGCTACAAGGGCGTGACGCAGGCCGCCTACGGCCGCTTCCGCGCGCAGCGCTACGAGGGGAAGCGGTGCATCTACATCGGGCTGTACGGCACGGCGGTGGAGGCGGCGGTGGCGTTCGCGCGCGTGGTCGTGAGCGCCG